TAAATCTGTGTACCTCCACCTGTTTGGGAGAGTTTTCCACTTTAAGAGTTTTCCACAGCCTGGAAAGCGAAGAGAGCTTGTAACTGACTGCTTTGACAAAGCCACATTAACCACCTCAATGTCTCTCATCAACATCATTTGAGATGTTTTGGATCTATTATCCAGTTTCAACCATTGTGGGTTTTTCTGTTCTCATCGATTATTTAGATCCAAGACAAAGTAAAAGAAGTTGAACAGAACAAGGCCATGAGCCAGGAATTCAGCCAGCAAATCCAGAAGATAGCCAAAGATCTCACAACTATTTTAACAAAGCTGAAAGCAAAAACAGATGATTTAGTTCAAGCCAAAACTGACCAAAAGGTAATGAAGTAGAAACATAAGAGGTGCTACTGAGTGAATTAAATATTTTTTTGGAGTCAGTTTTATTTGGGAATATAGAAAAACAAAACTTTCTTTATTAGCAATCTTCATTAAAACCACATAGTAAAAGCAGGCAGTATGGAAATTTTATCAATGTAATAGTACAGATCCACTTATGTAATTTACCATTATAATTGAACTGTATTGATAAATATACATATACATGTGTGTAAGGGAGAAGAGTGTCAAAGGACTAAATGATGATGTAGAAACACAAGTGTATAAATTCCAAAGTGAGTTATGTTCTTGGTAGTTAAATCTGTGTTCTCACTTTGTTGATGAGTAAAGTGACTCTAATCCTTTTCGGGTGGGGCAGAAGGAAATTGTTAGTCCTCTCACTTAGCCTCATAGGAAATAAACACCAGGATTACAACACATCCTGCTCTGCTTTTCTAACTGAAGAAATAGAGATGACCTGATTGTCGTAGGATTGATTTTTATAATATTTGGCTTTTACAAAAGTCATTTAAAATAGAATCCTTCTGATTTTGGAAAAGCTGGAGAAATTTATTTTCTACAGTCTAATGTTCTTTCATTGTGATGACCATCTAGGTGCTGGGAGAGGAACTGGATGGTTGTAATTCAAAGTTAATGGAATTAGATGCAGCAGTACAGAAGTTCTCGGAACAGAATGGCCAACTGGGTAAGCCACTGGCCAAGAAGATAGGAAAACTGACTGAACTTCACCAGCAGACTATTAGACAGGCTGAGAATCGCCTCTCCAAGCTCAGTCAGGTATGTTTTCAAGGCCAGTAATCGAAATTCTCTAAGGCAGAAACTTCAATGTTCTGCTTTTCTTTTGAAAATAAATAAAAAGATAATATTGAAAATGATGCAAGCAGTTTAGATGTAGCTTATTTCATACCCAGCTGTGCTCCTAAGATTTATATGTAAACCTGCATTTATTTTATATCAAACCATATTATAAATTCACTGACAAAGATGGTCATATAAATGGACTTCGGGGAGAATATTTTGTAAACTGGAGAAGTATTTTGTAAAATGAATACTCATTCATTAACATGTTTTATAACATTGGTTTGGGGAGAATTCCAGTATATATATATATATGTACTTCAAATTATATATATATATATATATATATTAGCTTGCATTTACTTAATAGGTTCAGGTTGCCCGTCTATTATAATTTTTAAGTATAGACTGGACTTATGCAAAGAGATTACATATTGTTTCTACAATCAGAGACAAGTTAGAACCAGAGTTGGTAACCAATGAATTGTTGTATTAAAACCTGGCATGCTGTAATCCCTACCTGCTATCTCTGTACGTATTGTTTCTACAATCAGAGACAAGTTAGAACCAGAGTTGGTAACCAATGAATTGTTGTATTGAAACCTGGCATGCTGTAATCCCTACCTGCTATCTCTGTACCCAGTGGAATGTGGAAGAAGGGATAAAGGTGAACTAGATAGAACATAAGAGATGAGAACTGA